TCACTGAAGCAAGCAAGCCTCATGTTCGCTTTTCAGTGCATGGCTGCCTGCCGCCATCTTGGCTGGCAGTTAATTTGCATATCGCCCTGATTAGCCAATGGGAAGGGTAGCGGATGTACGGCTAATTACCATGTTTCTCTTTTATTAGATAGGATGGCCACTCCTGCTCTTTTAGTTACCATTTACTTGGACTATCTTTTTCCAGTCTTTAACTTTCAGCCTCTTTGGGTCCTGAAATCTAAAGCGGAGTCTTTTGTAGATAGTATAGAAATGGATCTTTTTTTTTTTTTCCCCTCTCTCTTATTTTTTGTAATCCTCACCTGAGAATATGTTTTTCATTGATTCTAGAGAGAGAGGAAGGGAGAGGGAGAGAAAGAGAGAGAAACGTCTGTCAGTTGCCTCATGCCCCTACTAAGGATGGAACCTGTAACCAGGGTATGTGCCCTGACCTGGAATCAAACCCATGACCATTCAGTGCGCAGGATGATGATCTGTGCACTGTACAACACTGGCCAGGACAGTTGCACCCATGTCTTTTGATTGGTAACTTCAGTTCCTTTGCATATAAAGTAATTACAGGTAGAGAAGGATTCACTATTGCCATTTTGTTCATTATTTTTGTGTCTTGTAGCCTTTCGTCATTTTTTTTCTCTCATTGTTTTCCTTTATGTGTCATTGACTGTGTGTGTGTGTGTGTGTATTGGCTTGCTTTGATTTCTTTCTCATTTCCTTTTGTGTATTCTCCATAGACGTTTTCTCTGTGCTTACCAGGGGCCTTACATAAAACATCTTATAGTTTTAACAGTCTCATTTAAGCTGATAACTTAACTTCAATAATTCTACTCTTTTTCTTTTCTCCACCCCCCATACATTGTCATCAATGTCACAAATTATATAGTGTATAGATAACATATTTTTATACTTATTTTTATACTTTTGTCATTTGACTTCTGCACTAAAATTTAAAGTGATTGTTTTAATTTATTTTTATTTTTACATTCTTAATTTTTAGAACAAGTTTATAGAGTTTAGCATTTGTTATGTACATTTTGTGACAAAGTTCTAAATTTTGTGATATTTCAAAATTTTTAAAGTTGAATAAATCTAACAATTACTTTTTTTCTTATTTAAACAGAATTTTGAGACTGATGGTCAACCATATTGAAGAATACATTGAACTTATAGTTTTCTGAAGAATCAGTTCAAAAGATCCCCCAAAATACAAAAGGTAATGATAGGGTTGTATCTTAGAATGCACTTTGGAATGACATTTTTCCAGAAAAGTATATTTCAAAATCCATAAGCTATCTTGACACAATAATTTGAAGAAAGTTTTACTTAAAATTTTTTCCTGTTGTATTAATTTATCCTACAACATTTATTGTGCCAGCTATGTTCAGATACTATTTGTATACTGTGATGATCAAGGCAGAAACTATTCCTGCTCTCAGGAGGCTTGCATTCTAAAGGGAGGGAGGACAAATAGTAAATAAAAAAAATTTGTAGTTCTGTGCAGAGAATTCAAATGGATATAGAGACTGGTGACTGCTTTCATTAGTAGTTAGAGAAGCCCTCAATGAAGAAAAATGTTTCAGTTGTGATCTGAATGGCAAGAATGTGCCAACCATGTGAAGATCTGAGAGCGATCCCCTTCCTTGGGCAGTTATTATAAGAGGAGGCAGTGAAACAAAAATGACCATGGAAATAAAAAAAAGATTCTGAATAGCTGCAGCAATCCTGAGAAAGAAGAACAAAGTAGGAGGGATCTCAATACCAGATATCAAGCTGTTTACAGAGCCCACTCAAAACTGCCTGGTACTGGCATGAGAACAGACATATAGACCAATGGAATAGAATAGAGAACCCAGAAATCGACCCAAATCACTATGCTGAATTAATATTTGACAAAGGAGGCAAGAGCATACAATGGAGTCAAGACAGTCTCTTCAATAAATGGTGTTGGGAAAATTGGACAGATCCATGCAAAAAAATGAAACTAGACCACCAACTTACACCATACACAAAAATAAACTCAAAATGGATAAAGGACTTAAACATAAGACGGGAAACCATAAAAATACTAGAGGAATCCACAGGCAGCAAAAT